AGGCGCAGTCTTGAAACTTTCCGATCGCACCTCGTATATACTTTGTGCCTGTCATTCTTTGTTTCATTTATCCAGTTCGTCGACAACCACAAACATTTATTGTTCTGAGTTGATTTCAAAGCAATTACTTAACAGCCGAGCCGACATATCGGCTACACGAGATTTTCAGCATGTGTGAAACACGTACATTTATGTAAGATCGATCTGTTTTCGTATCGTGACCCTAATTTTAATTGTGATAAGTCTTATGTCGGTTTTCCTTTAACCGGCGTAAATAGGGTATGGTGCTAACAGACCTCGGTTCCCATTGTTAGCGAAGCTTGAACCAACAAAGCGTTTACAGACTCAGAAAATATTTCGACGGAGATTGAACAGGTGGCGTGGCTTTCAATAAGTTTTCGTTCGTGGCAGTTGAATCCATTGTTTCCACTTCAAGTTTGAAACTAACTTTCGTAGATGGAAAGGTGTGGTGTATTAAAAGCAGCTGTCATCGAATTATATGTTTCAAGGCCACGGAAAGACTGAGCTACGCTGTTATTGTTGCATAGTAGCGAGATTTTTATGTGACCTTGAAACTTGAAATTTGGTGGTGACTTGAATCGTGACTAATTTCTTTGGCAAGAATTTGGTAAAATATCAGCCCGGAAACGTGTTTTGGATACACTTAGGAATTTAGGTTAATGTTTTAGATTTGCGATGCAACCCAAGTTGATTATTTGCTTTTTATGTGGTTATTTATGAGTATTAAACGTTGATTGAGATTACGTGATCTTTATACACGGGTTGATGTAGACGTTTATGGCAATCGGATTGTAAGTGTGAGGTTAGGTATCTTATCTTAGAGTTAACTTTTTTTGGAATGAATATTACCATGTTTTCCTGACTAAAATAAATCGATGATTTATGAGTGGAGCTGATGCATAGTTCACTTTACCAATTTAGAAGCAAGGATTTATGCTTGTTAAACCTTTAAAATACAAAGCGCATGTCTTTAGTGATATGAGAATCAAGAGTGTTTGTTAGGTCGTCAGACATGTTTCACCAATTTAAAGACTCGAATTTCCTTAAATTGAACTCAAAACTCAGTTAAATGCTATTTAAAAATGCTCTCCAAATCAAAGAAGATACACCTCAGCTCTCTTACAGAGAAAATTAGGTTAATGATGGGTAGGAAAAAGTTTGAGGTTTATTGTGAAAACAAATCTATTCATATTCGTTCGATTTTCTGAGTCACAGTAACTCCTGCTTTACGAATAATAAACTGTCCTTAATATTGGTTGATGTGCGGTTTTTCTATCAGGCCACCAGATGGCTCTCCAGACGATGTTGATGTCATTGATTGAATACAATCTATTGAAATCGCGTCCGATGTGATGGCGATAAATAACCTTTGAGGACAGTAACAAATGGGAGTACTGACCTAAAAGATTTATTGAACCTTTTTACCAGACTCACAGAGAATTTGAATTCTAAATAAATGAAAACAATGTAGGTCTTTGAGGCATGTGTGTGTTTAACACAGTTTGACCACGTTATTGTTCTGGGAAACATCAACAGATGGCGGCATTGTGTTTCATCGATTTCTCGCTAGCGGCTTAAACTTATCGCCACGATACTGGTGGGAGCGAGCACCTCTGAAACGTCGGTAAATTTCAGTTCAGTAAATGTACAACATATTCTCTGCGTAAAATAACGGCCCTAAACATTTGTATGGAGAGTTTTTTTCTGGTACCTAAAAATTTGCGACCTGTGATGACTCATATTTTAGTAATTCACTAGATCAGTGATATTCAACCTGGGGTACGCGTACCCCCGGGGGTACGTGAAATTTAAAAAAAATATATATATATTATTTTATGATAAACACTGAATAATCAGTAATGCAATTTATTTAATTTATGTTAGATGTAGATTATATATTATGTATAACTTGAATTATACACCAACAACTTTGGGGGTACAAAGTTGAAGAGAAATTATATCTGGGGATACGCGAAGACATCTTAGGGGGTACGTGAAATTTTTTTAAAAAAAAGTTGAAGAGAAATTATATCTGGGGGTACGAGAACAAAAAAGGTTGAATACCACTGTCATAGATCACATTAATGTAAGAGACCAAGTTTCACACCTATACAAAACAACAAATAATCATGCACCTTTGTATATTGTTATCTTTACGTCTTTGGATAGTAGATGGAAGACAAAATATTCTGTTCTGAAGAATGTTAGCAAGCATTCCCCGAATTTACTGCTCATAAATAAACACAAAAGACTCGATACCACATTCATTATTAATACAAGGTAACTTGCAGTCGCAGAAGACTCAACGCTGACCTCAGTTGAGTGTCTTGTTATCAAAGGGAACGTCATCTGTGGACTTTCTCACAGATTTTGAACACTTTTCAATTTGATGTCGTCAAGAGATTATAAATGCATGCACTCACGCTATTGGTCGAAGGACAATGGAGTAGACCTTGAAGCATATAATAGTTTCGTAATAAGCATATCGACTTGGACATTCTTAAATCTACCACCCACGTGAGTGGCCTGTATTGGAGGACCACAAAATATATTTCTGATATTCCAAGGTCTCTCCAAAATAATACAGAAGACACGCCATGATTTGTTGGACATTACCAACACGGTGGTCTAGCGGTTAGAAAGCTGGCCTTGTAATCCTGGGGTCTCGGGTTCGATTCCCGGCGGTGCCCGAATTTATAACTTGTGTTGGGCAAGGCCGTGGTCTAGGCAACACGGAGTTTTCCTCCGGGGGCTTCCCCGGTTTCTCCGTGGCATCCCAACAATTACTCCATTCACACACAGAAGAAGGCAATGGCAAACCACTTCTGGATCATCTGCCAAGAACGTATATGAACAGGTCCCAGTCCGAGAAAAGGATGGAAGGATCCTGTTCATATGGACCTGTCGTCAGACAGAACACTAAATAAATAAAATAAATTCTACATCAACCTAATACTTAAGCAGAAATATCAGAAACGCGTGTTAAATTATTTCTATTGCATATTTATTAAGCAATGTAAATTAATTAAAACACCCGCCTTACACTCACAATTGTTTATAATCATATACTATCTGTTCCGACATATTTTACTGCCATCTTCAAAAATATGCCTAGTATAAAATCATCAGTAATTACTGGTGATTGCATCATTATTCTAATTTGTGGTGTCTTTTGCTTTCATGACAGAGACAAATATCCTACGTCGAAATTATACATTAGCAACTGTTAATTTAACTGTTGCGTTTAGGTCAATTACCAAGCATTCGGGAGGTGTCGGTCTCAGATCTCGGTTTTCTTCAGTCCCTCCAGGAATGTGGGAGTGTATTGTCTTAAAATAGGCCACTGCCACTTCCTTCCACCCCCTTTCAAAGTTATTTATTAATTACCCTATTCATCTGACGCTGTGTAATCTGGATTTTAGTAATATCGTCGTTATGTTAACGAGTTATATCGGTGAACGAAAGTATTTTGAAAAATGAAAATGAGCAGAGGACAAAACCACGAAAAATATATTTCTTTCAGTTATAACACAAAATTAATTATAGTAATGAAGCCAGCGATTAACCCTTTGAAGCCGAAGATCGTCTAAATATTATTTATGAATTCAGTCCGTACCGCGAAGAAAACACTACACCTCACCATTACGAAAATCAGCTGGTTAACCCTTTGAAGCCGAAGCTCGTCTTCATAATATTTACGAATCCAGACCGTACCGCGAAGAAAACACTTCACTTAACCATTAGAAGTCGAATCAGGCGGTACCACATAAGATTTAACAAAAGAACATCCCGGTCAAAGCCTTAATAATGTTGACACGTATATGTCATGGAACGATAATATCAATGTATATTATTAAATAGAAAGAATAATTAATTATTAGTTTATGAAATTTTGTTTTCGTTTATGTACGCGTGAGTCGATACACCAGTTTTGGTAAGGAGCTTGAGGCATCTCGCGATAAACCCTGAGCGTTATAGAACGAGAAATTCATCAGGCAAATTAGGGCTTAGTAAGTTAACTGGAACAAGTGTCATGTATTGGTGACGTCCGTCGATAATTTTAGTCGATAGTGTGTGCTTCCTGCATAAACCCGCCTTCCATCCTGAATAATTTACTCGGAGCTTCGATTTTCAGTTGACGTCGCTGAATTCTGAAACAAGGCGTCTCAGTGCCCTACTGCTTTTTAAATTAACCTCTGATACATGCTGAATGTTTATTAAACTGATCTGTTTCACCGTCTGTAACTTCGATTTCCGTTTTGACTTCTCGTCACATGTTTTAAAGCACTAAATTAGCGTTTATTTGAAGTAACCACGAGAAAATTTAACAAGGGTTGTCGATGTCAGGGGAGAAATTCAAATTCCATACTTCCTACCTGAGTCTGCGTGTATAAACCTCGGTTATGTAGTTCATAATTTCTATAAATTTACCAACTAAATTATTTTTGACGTGTAAATTCTGCTTTCTGTTGTAGGCCGTATAGGGAATGTTGAGAATTTACTTAACGTATCGGAGAATATTTCTGTTGACATCTTCAGGGTGAATATGTACAACTTGGATGTTTTTGGAAGCCTTATATAGGGAAGAGAATAGGTGACGAGTTGGATTTGCACTCTCCCTAAGACTTTCTTTGTCACCTCTTATTCACGTGGCCCTCGAAAGGGCAGTTTACTTCATTACATCTTTTTCGAACTTCGTGAACAAATAATCACCTCATTTTCTCATCCACATGGTATTCTAGATGTATCTTGTCAGCATGAGATGGAGGATGGATTTTCAGTCCATATTCGGTTCTTCTCTGAACCAGTAGAAAGTTACGAGATTTAAATAGAATCATATGTTAATAAGTTAAACCTATTATGTATGGATCGCCTATGACACAAGACACTTTTATGTATTTCGAAACTGAACAATTCATTTGCTTCTCCAAATATCTTGTCTCAATCTCTAAAAATAATGAAAAATCTTCGTGTTACAGGAAGTCGTACAATATGGCGGAGAGTGTGAAAGTTATCGTAAGATGTCGTCCCATGAATTCCAGGGAGAAGGATTTGAACTGTAAGGTAAGTTGCTGAAAATATACATCGTAGCATTTAAAATGCAATCCAACAGCAGTCACGTATCAATTTACAAAATTAAAATAGAAACAGGTCAACCCCCTTGTAATAGTGCCCCATCTACCACGAGATATTTAAGTCAAGGTCACCATTGTTGGATCTCCGCTCACAGTTGTGCAGGTTCGAACATGGTGATTTTACGAACGGAAATGGGTTCATTCGGATAGACGTCACATTACATGATTTATGTATCTATCTCGTATACATCATACTTACACCCCTTAAGATACAGTTCAGACGCTGTTACAATATTTTAGGTACTATTTATAGAATCTAACATTACGCTGTTTAAATTAATCAGAATTGTGAAATATTTTCGACTTCGCTTTTCTCTTAAACTTTTCACGAAGAGAGCTCTCCTTTTGCTGAAATTCCTTTTGGCCAATCCATGCATTGAACTTCACATCATCTCTTAAAAATATCTCTAATTAAAAGCGAAATTGTGTGTGCATTGATTTTGTGTTGTCTTTTGTACTGGCTGAAGGTCACAGAAACTTACACAGTTTGATTAGTTTGGTTTTTGGGGCTTAATCGACGATAAATAATCACAGCAGTTGATGCAGTGTTATCAGTAATTTGCTAATAAAATTTGAGAACATTTTACGTTACAGTGTTGAAGAAAGTTTAATTGTTGAGATTCCACGTATTTGAGTCATATTACATTTTAGCTGCCTGATGTAATGTTTTTCTCGTAATTGCAGCTGGTAATTATTCGATTGTGTTGTACACTGTAGGCCTGGTTTCTTACAAATACATAAAGTAAATGAATCGAAAATCAATTTCTCTGACCTTATATGACCTTGGAAGAAGAAAACAAGTCTCATTTCTCGGTACTAGGCCTACTGGTGTGGGTCATGTTTATTGATAATGTGGTACATAAAGACAAGTCCATTTTCACAAGGGGGTATCCAAAGACTATGAATCTTCTTTGACAACAGTCACTGTGTTGCGTGTTTGGACACCATAAAGTTTTGGTTATGGTCCTACGTCTCACACATACGTTTATTTCAATTACATACACCAAGCATGTAACAGGAATAATGCAATTAAAATTAATGTTCGGCTAAAATAATTACGTAGAAAACAATTTTCCAATTTTGTCGATAAACCGTTCCTGAAATCCAGACTAGATCCTTGATTCCCGCTTTCCTTATTTTCGACTGCTGAAGAAGTTTTCCGATGTTCGACTATTCATGCGAGTGAACATTCTTTTGTTTTATAGATCCTTGATTCCCGTTTTCCTTATATTTGACTGTTGAAGAAGTTTTCCGATGTTCGACTACTCATGCGAGTGAACATTCTTTTGTTTTACTGTCGACTCCAGAGAGCGATTCTATCGAATGCAGGAAAGAACGAATATGCCAAAAGCGTTCGTTCTCGCCAGAAACTATTTGAATTTTGAGAGCATTATATCATGCCCTGTTTCGGCAAGATATCATTTTTACAGCCCATAGTTATTTGTAAGCCAATATTCCACATCCTGGGATTAAATCAAGGTTCTTCGATTACAATTCAAAAACTTCAACGCGGAACTAATTTATATCGAAGACAGCCATGATCGACTTTATTCTCTGCCATCTACAATATTTGATTATCACTTCCTCCATACATAACCTTTAAAATTGTTGATAGAAATAAATTTTTCCTTCATGTCAGTGTGTGGTGTTCATGGACAACAGCCATTGTACGTGTTCCATTGTAAATCCAACTGACAGCTCTGCTCCTCCGAAAAGTTTCACCTTTGATGGGGTATACCACATTAACTCCACTACAGAACAAATCTACAATGAAATTGCATACCCACTAGTAGAGGTGAGTAATCAGGAAAAGCGAAGAAAGACAACAAAATGTTAAGAAATAAGATATCAGTGGTATTAGGAGGTCTTCTGGAAGGATATCGCAATTAATCAATCAAGATACTCTGGAATCAAAGAAATTATTTATTGGTTCATGTTTACTTCAAGCAATTTTTCCGGCCGAGTCGTAATTATGACAAATCATCTTTAATGTAAGTCGTCTAAACAAAAGAGAATGAAAACCAAATTCTGCACCTGTTATCTCGATAATTTCTTATTTCGTGCAATTAAACTCTATTAAGCTGTTTAATAAAGTTTTCTATTAATGGATTGTAATCATTCTGACATTAATCTAATGCTTGCAATCTGGTTCTTATTTTGTCCACAGGGTGTGTTAGAAGGCTACAACAGCACTGTGTTTGCTTATGGACAGACAGGGTGTGGCAAGAGTTTTACAATGCAAGGTGTTACAGACCCTGCCTCACAGAGGGGCATTATACCGAGGGCATTTGAGCACATCTTTGAGGCCGTGTCTGTCGCAGAAGGCACCAAGTATCTCGTTCTGGCTTCGTACCTTGAGATTTACAATGAAGACATTAGAGATCTGTTGGGTCGAGACGTGAAAAGAAAATTAGACTTGAAGGAACACACAGACAAGGGAGTTTATGTTCAAGGTAAACGGATTGGTCGAGGCTTACGCTTGCCATGTGTTTGTGTAGTCACAATTAGAAGGGACACATTTCTGTATGTAGCGTATGAGGGATTATGAATAATAAGTATGACGACACCTTTTTGGTATTTATTTGAAAGGTCAGAGGATTGTTATTTCCAACCACCATTCAAATTGTTTTCAAATTGGGTGCCGATTGGCACTGATATAATAGTCACAATCATATCACCACAAGATTTAAAAAGAAATGGCTGAAGGCTGATTGAAGATCAGATATAATATATAAATTAAATAATGTATTCTCTATGTAATTATTTTTCCTGAATACTTTGTTTACTAGATCTGTCGATGCATCCAGTACAGAGTGTGGCAGACTGTGAGAAACTCATGTACCAAGGCTGGAAGAACAGAGCTACGGGGGCAACACTGATGAATGCCGACTCATCGCGGTCTCATTCAATATTTAGTATTAACTTGGAGATGATGCCATTGTGTGCTCTTGAAGATGCCTGCTGTCCCGCTGATGGAGATCACATACGGCGCGGAAAGCTGAACCTAGTCGATCTCGCTGGTAGCGAACGACAAGCCAAGACGGGTAATAAGAAATTTCCTAATTTAACATATGACACTCCACGTATCCAAAACTCCTCTACACGCTTAGGCCAGAGGATAGACGATTGGACCGACAAGTACATCGCCATTTCTGTTGAGTAATGTTCACATTTTTCATAGTCATTCAAATTAAATCTGAATGGGAGAGATGGAAATAACTTTTTAAGAGATTTGAACAATGTTTATAAAATTATTGCTAACTATTTAAAATGTTTGTTTAGTTAAATTCAAATTGAACAACGTAGGGAATTAATTTTGTTTCTGTTAAAACATACCAACTTTTCTTTGACCACTGTATTCCTCAAATTCTGAAACATATTTCCAAATTGAATTTCCTTTTATTTTAGGTGCCACTGGCGAGAGGTTAAAGGAAGCGACCAAGATAAACCTATCATTGTCTGCTCTAGGAAATGTTATATCAGCTTTGGTGGACGGAAAGTCGAAACACATTCCGTACAGGGACTCCAAATTGACAAGGCTTTTACAGGTATGATTTTGAATTTCAGTTTTTCATTACAGTGTGTAACCTTTGTCTGTACATGTCACAGGTTGCGCAGTCAGATTGGTGGCGTAGTTGTGGTATTCCTGTTGCCTTGGTGATCAACCTGAGATGGTACGTGTCCATGGTTTTCCAACCCATCACGAGCAAGACCAAAGGGGGCGGCAGAGATACTGGGAGAAATCTCCGATGGTGAAGCATCAAAGTGAGCAAAATGTATATTTTTCTGCTCTGCTTACAGGACTCGCTGGGTGGCAACACAAAAACACTTATGATCGCATGCCTGTCCCCTGCCGACAACAACTACGATGAGACGCTGAGCACACTGCGCTACGCGAACCGTGCAAAGAACATTCAGAATAAGCCAAAAATAAATGAGGATCCAAAGGATACAATGCTTAGGGAGTACCAGGAGGAGATCAAAAAACTGCGGCAGATGCTCGAGTCATCGAACCCCAGTGAAAATACAGGTATATTACATATAATTTGATCAGACGTGTAGAAACTTCAATTAAAATATCATTTACTATTAGCAGATATCAAATTTTACTTGAAAGAGAAGTTTCGTAGTGTATCAATTCTTGTAAATGCCCAATTTATATTTGTTTTGTCATATATTTCCATTCTTTAGTGTGTGCATTTCTGAATGAAAATACTTTGTGTCTTTACGTATGTTCATATCTCTGATGAATTTTTATGATTTTGAAAAATTACTACCAACCGACACTTTTATAAATATTATGGATGATATGAATGGTGAACCCAGAAGGATAGAAAATGAAATAAAAATTGTGATTAATATGATGAGGTGCTTACTGCATCTGCGTATTTTTACGTAAAAACTTTCCTTGCTGTAGCGATATCGGTGACCAATGAGAAGGCGATGACAGAAGAGCGTGAGAAAGTTCGGCAGGAGTACGAAAGTGAAATGAAGAAGATGCGAGAACAATACTTGGCCGAACAGGACCACAAGGCAAAGCTCCAGTCGGACATGGAGAGGCTGAAACAGCAATATGAACAACAACTTGAGAGAATCAACAAAGAGGTACAATCTTTTTTTTAAAAAAATAGTCAATATACAACAAGAATTAATCGATTCAGAACTGTCCGGTCTGCGCGAGACCCGCAATGGAAGATGCTCCTGAGACGGCTTCCTCGACACGCTCTCAATTTGTTTTCCTTGCTTTCGTAATAACGAAGTGATGAAAGTGGAATAGAAGTATTTTCACTTGTCTTGTCGTTAGGTGGATAATTTTAAGCCAGTACAACTCGCGGAACAGTGTTGTAGCACAGGTTTAAATTTACTGTGGTTACTTAAAACTTTCACAAACTTGAGCCATTGTTTTAAAGTTCAAGGTCAAATTATTATATTTAACGTCGTCATTTTTAATGCTTCGTTCCAGGCGACGACTGATAGAAGTGCCAAGTCTCAGAGCGTTGGAGCCAAAACTCCATCAGAACTCATTGTAACTGAAGCCCTCAAGGGGTAAGTGTACATGTGAATTTTAAGAATATATTTTTAGGTTAAAGTTGTCGGTCGTTCCATCGATAGGGATTTATCCTGTATTTTGAAGATTGCCCGGAAAATCGAATATGAGGATGTGAATTAAATTGAACATTATAAGGATCTGTTTCATTAAAATGCTATTAAATCTTTGGAATTTCAAGTATAAAAAAATGTAACAAATTAAAGTTATGATTTAAATTTCAGTGAAATTCCAGCCATCAGTCCATCACAACAGGAAGTGCTGCTGAGGTATGTTAAAGCTGTAAATACGAGGCGCGTCCTCAAAGTAAGTTTCCCACTCGTCCCACAGCTAGCAAACCTTATATTGCGCGAAGCGACTGTGCGTACGTGATAGAGCAATGACGTAGCATGGCGCATGCACTAAAGGCACTTCCCGCGTTCTCACAGTAGCATCGTGGCAGCTGTTGAAGATGGAGGTTCTTATCCCAGCTCCCGCCGACTGTGAAGTGCGGTCAGTGATAACGCTAGGCCGCACACGACTCGACGGACAGCAAGTCTCCTGCAGGAGTTCAGCTGGGAGGTGTTTAATCATTCACCCTACAGCCCGGACCTCGCTCCCAGTGATTTCCATCTTTTCCTACACCTCAAGAAATTCCTGTCCGGTCAGCGTCAGCGTCAGCGTTTTGAGAATGAAAGAGAGGCGGAGATGGTTGTCACACAGTGGTTCCAATCCCAGGCGGCAGACTTCTACGACACAGGTATTCAAAAGTTGGTCCCACGGTATGACAAATGTCTCAATTCCGGTGGCGAATATGTTGAAAAATAGCTGGACACTTGCTGTATCTGTTGCAATAAATATTTCCATGAAATTGTGTTTTGTTTCTGTAAACGGCCCCAGGGAAACTTACTTTGAGGACGCGCCTCGTACGTAGCGAAAGAAAATTATAGTATATTGTATTTTGAACATTTTTTTTATTGTACCATAATATAATATAATATGAATCATTGAAGTTCAGTTTATATGTGTTAAATGAAACATGACACATCATGAACCCAGAAGACAGAAATCTTCGTACTCACCACAATGAAAACCTGAAATCTCAACTGGAGAAACATTTGTTGATAACGAAATAAGTCTTGTCGATAAATAACTATTTTAGTTTAGTGGTTAAATCGTTGGAACAGGTTGCAGAAGTTGCAGAAAAGCATGGTAGGGGGAGAGCGTGCCAATGACCGCGAACTGAAAGAGAGACGGCTCAGGAAGAAGAAGGCAGCCGAACGCCGACTCCAAGCCCTGGCCAAGGTTCTGTCAAAAGTTGAAGATGAAGATGGGGTCTTCTTGCAGGTTTATGATGATATTCAGCAAGAGCTGAGTCTAAAGACTGATGCCCTCAGGAAAAGCAAGTTGAAGGTAAAAGGAAACATTTACTGAGCTACTAGAAGTAGCGCTTTCTTTTCAAAACTCTTTAAAGTGTTCTATTGGTCTCAGTATGTTGTTGCACTCATTCTGATATTCTAGACGATCTTACAGTTAAATAAATTTAAAGCGCTCCTGCTTGTTTATCGCATTTTAAAATAAATGTACCTCAGAAGAAATATTATATAGGAATCGAACCGGTATTTGGGATATCAGACTTCCATATTTTGAATTCAATTTGACAATTATGAAATTTAAGCAGAATGAATTAACTTGGCGCGGTGTTACATGTTAAAATATATGGTCCTGAAAATTAATGGGTCTGAACGTAAATAATGAGCGAATCAGGTAGTGTCATAGTTCAGTGGGGTGTATCTTGTTTAATTAACCTGTTACATGCTATATGTTTTTTCTATCAGTGTAATCGATTAAGATTCTGAATAAACTATATTCACTTTTGTTCTCTTTTCATTCTTGAAAGGTTCGAGCGCTAGAAAGAGAAATCTTGGATCTTCAGAGTGAGTTCGAGAACGAAAGAACAGATTATCTGGAGACAATAAGAAAACAAGTTCGCTTACAGAAACTTTATCAGCAAATTGTTGAGAAGATGTTGCCAACTTTAAAAAAGGAGTGTAATTATAGGTAAATATGAAGCATATTTTGACGTTCATTATGGAAAGTAAAGCAGTGTTATGTTCAAATGTGTGTGTGTGTGTTTACTGCCCCAAAAATGTATGTTTTCAAATTGGTAAAAGTTTCATCTTGAATGTTTAAAAATACTCTTGAGGGTTGAAGTTTAAAAAAATTTATGTATTGCCTCTACCATCCTCCACAAACAAGAAACTCCAGTCTGAAAGTATTTTTATGAGATATACGAAATTACTTGTTTATTCTCTTTTAAATTATATCACAGCTAATCAGAAATTACATATGAGTACATTTCAATATTTTAATCTTTTTGAAGTGGGTTCATAAAACTGAGAATTTCTTGGAATGATAGGGGAATTAAAAAATAAGTTTATTTATTCAATTATGATTTATTTAATGACACAAGGAGGTCAGGGTCCACCAAGGACTGTAGCGCACACTTGCATATGTAACATTATTCTTACTTCTATTATAGTAATTTGGAAAAAATAAAGAGTGATGCTGTTTGGAATGACGAATCCCAGACATGGAGACTTCCAGAATTGTTCATAACCAGGACCAAATTACCACCAGCTGGTACGTTAATCTCACAATCTTCATCTGTTTTCCTTTAACATCACATTTCTGTCAGTGAAGTACAGTGAACCCCCCAAATTCAGGAATGCTGTATGAAAGTCTAACACATTTCTTGCTTCTTTGCATGACGTCTACAGGAGTCCAACCAAGCCTTTTGACTTTACGACCAAACTCTGCACATAATGGGACCTCAAATAGAAGTAGTGGCTCCAGTCAAAAATCTGGTATATCTAGTAGCAGTCCACCATCAGATAAGCGACACAGTTCGCCTGACACGGATGATGAAAATAGAGTTATATTCAAGGTTTGTTTTAAATTTTGATTTTGTATTTCACATCTTACTGCATTCTACAGTCAGTCGCTTCATTCTTATTCCCCGTCACTACCACCTGATTTATTAGTTTGAAATACATCTTGTTTCAAATCGTCGTAGATATTTCTAGTTGTACTCACGAGTAGAAATTTCTACAGATTTTAAGCAAGGAGAAACATTTGTTGATAACGAAATAAGTCTTGTCGATAAATAACTATTTTAGTTTAGTGGTTAAATCGTTGGAACAGGTTGCAGAAGTTGCAGAAAAGCATGGTAGGGGGAGAGCGTGCCAATGACCGCGAACTGAAAGAGAGACGGCTCAGGAAGAAGAAGGCAGCCGAACGCCGACTCCAAGCCCTGGCCAAGGTTCTGTCAAAAGTTGAAGATGAAGATGGGGTCTTCTTGCAGGTTTATGATGATATTCAGCAAGAGCTGAGTCTAAAGACTGATGCCCTCAGGAAAAGCAAGTTGAAGGTAAAAGGAAACATTTACTGAGCTACTAGAAGTAGCGCTTTCTTTTCAAAACTCTTTAAAGTGTTCTATTGGTCTCAGTATGTTGTTGCACTCATTCTGATATTCTAGACGATCTTACAGTTAAATAAATTTAAAGCGCTCCTGCTTGTTTATCGCATTTTAAAATAAATGTACCTCAGAAGAAATATTATATAGGAATCGAACCGGTATTTGGGATATCAGACTTCCATATTTTGAATTCAATTTGACAATTATGAAATTTAAGCAGAATGAATTAACTTGGCGCGGTGTTACATGTTAAAATATATGGTCCTGAAAATTAATGGGTCTGAACGTAAATAATGAGCGAATCAGGTAGTGTCATAGTTCAGTGGGGTGTATCTTGTTTAATTAACCTGTTACATGCTATATGTTTTTTCTATCAGTGTAATCGATTAAGATTCTGAATAAACTATATTCACTTTTGTTCTCTTTTCATTCTTGAAAGGTTCGAGCGCTAGAAAGAGAAATCTTGGATCTTCAGAGTGAGTTCGAGAACGAAAGAACAGATTATCTGGAGACAATAAGAAAACAAGTTCGCTTACAGAAACTTTATCAGCAAATTGTTGAGAAGATGTTGCCAACTTTAAAAAAGGAGTGTAATTATAGGTAAATATGAAGCATATTTTGACGTTCATTATGGAAAGTAAAGCAGTGTTATGTTCAAACGTGTGTGTGTGTGTTTACTGCCCCAAAAATGTATGTTTTCAAATTGGTAAAAGTTTCATCTTGAATGTTTAAAAATACTCTTGAGGGTTGAAGTTTAAAAAAATTTATGTATTGCCTCTACCATCCTCCACAAACAAGAAACTCCAGTCTGTTTATGTATTGCCTCTACCTTCCTCCACAAACAAGAAACTCCAGTCTGAAAGTATTTTTATGAGATATACGAAATTACTTGTTTATTCTCTTTTAAATTATATCACAGCTAATCAGAAATTACATATGAGTACATTTCAATATTTTAATCTTTTTGAAGTGGGTTCATAAAACTGAGAATTTCTTGGAATGATAGGGGAATTAAAAAATAAGTTTATTTATTCAATTATGATTTATTTAATGACACAAGGAGGTCAGGGTCCACCAAGGACTGTAGCGCACACTTGCATATGTAACATTATTCTTACTTCTATTATAGTAATTTGGAAAAAATAAAGAGTGATGCTGTTTGGAATGACGAATCCCAGACATGGAGACTTCCAGAATTGATCATAACCAGGACCAAATTACCACCAGCTGGTACGTTAATCTCACAATCTTCATCTGTTTTCCTTTAACATCACATTTCTGTCAGTGAAGTACAGTGAACCCCCCAAATTCAGGAATGCTGTATGAAAGTCTAACACATTTCTTGCTTCTTTGCATGACGTCTACAGGAGTCCAACCAAGCCTTTTGACTTTACGACCAAACTCTGCACATAATGGGACCTCAAATAGAAGTAGTGGCTCCAGTCAAAAATCTGGTATATCTAGTAGCAGTCCACCATCAGATAAGCGACACAGTTCGCCTGACACGGATGATGAAAATAGAGTTATATTCAAGGTTTGTTTTAAATTTTGATTTTGTATTTCACATCTTACTGCATTCTACAGTCAGTCGCTTCATTCTTATTCCCCGTCACTACCACCTGATTTATTAGTTTGAAATACATCTTGTTTCAAATCGTCGTAGATATTTCTAGTTGTACTCACGAGTAGAAATTTCTACAGATTTTAAGCAACAGATTAAATATTTAATAAGGCCTCAACCTGTTTGTTTAGATGAGGGTCAGATGTATAGAATATTTTGGAAGATTTCCATTATTTTGAAAATTTGTATGTATTGACACAAATTACAGTGTGTACACTTATAAAGTTGAACATAGCTGTCACTTCCTGGCTCCCAGATGAATCTGCATGACTCACCAAGCACTATAAGGTTTTCCTGATGCGATTCAAGTATTGCCGTACAAAAACAATAAAATTTACTTACCAGAAGACGGCACAATGTGTATCATAATATAACCATGGATAAACTACTTGGTGTGTGAGTGACCGTTTCAGTTCTGGGCAGCGAGTCAAGTTTTACAGTCGAGTCCACAGTAAAATACATTTTCAGTTCCTAGCAGTTTCTTAGAATTGTGATGTCGCCCACGAGCATAGCCGTTTGATAATTACAGTCCTAGTATTAACTCTCCTGATACTGTTTGTTTTTTTAATAAAAAGTCTCACCTACTGTTCAACTTCATTTGACACTGGACTATCATAATAAATCACTGGACGTAATGAAATTAATCTGAATTCAAACATTGGAATGTTTTGATTGACAGAAGCTACAGAGGAGTGAACAGGAAGACATCGCTGGAAACTACTTCAAGCCAAAACGAGCTGTTGAATTGCTAAATAGAGCAAAAGAAGATGCCAGCAAAGCTTTTAGTACGTGGAAGGGTAAATATTTGAATTTTGGGCATACCTCTAAAAATTGCATGTCCTTTCGCATGTTATCAACGTTTATACTCTCGTATTCATAATATCATTTAAATGAGATGCGTTGAACATAAAGATTGTCTCTTATCCATAATTATCAGAATGGAAGTTAATATCAGATGTTTTGTTGCTGTGCAGTCACTGTCTGTTTTAAAATGAAGGATATTTACAGATATTAGAAGGAATTATTTACCACTTCATGGATATTTACTGATATTAGAAGGAATTATTTACCACTTCATTGCATTATATTAATTATACATGTTTTTAAAGGTTTTCTCAGTGTTGAAAGAGTTCAGTCTTCTTTACGCACTAAACACTTTATACAAAAAAATTATATACGGTTGAGTCTTGTCATTTACAGTAAAAATTATTCAGTGTATCTTTTCCATACTCTTATTTTTTTTCATGTTCGATTGCCAAGTTAGTAAATATTTGTTCTTCTCCATTTATGCCTGTTCTCGTTAGCTGATTGTAAGGCTTGGAGGTGTATAAATTTTAACTCAAATGGTAGTAGACATATTTTCCTTTATGAATTTATAAAATAATGTTGGAAAGAACTGGTACATTTTCAGTTCCACAAGTATAAATTTTACTCTTTTATAATGGTTTATGCATGGACCTCGTGCGCCTGACCGCTGCGACCGTGGGTTCGAGTCCCACTCAAGGCATGGATGTTTGTCTGCGTCTTCCTTCGTTTGTATAGGTAGAGGCCTTGTGTCGGGCTGATCACTCATCCAAGGAGTCCTACCATTGTCCAAACAGATCAATAAAATGAATAAATAAACCTCGACACCTACGGGTAAAAGAGGATGAGAGAAAGAGAGAATAATGGTTTATAATGGTGCATGATGATGTATTGTATCACAGTTCATTATATCGCTGCTTCTTGTATGCAAATATTCATTTATCTTTATTTTTTTCAATGTTTCATAGTTGAATGTATAATTTGTTATTCATTTATCAGTGTCTGGTTCAGAGTTTCCGTAATTTTCCTCAAGGCACATGTTTTAAAAATGTATTGTTTTGAACAGATTTTTGGGTAGTTAGAACATAAAACACAATAGTCTTGGTTTAAATTCTGTTGCAACTATTTCTGTAATAATAGACCCATCGCCTTTCTGCGCGGCTTATGGAGACAGTGAGCGTTAACTTCAGTTGGGGAACAGCAGAGGAATGGATGTTCTTGTATATTTTAAAATATTTCACCGTCGTTCAGCTAATAGGTTACAAGAATCCTGCCACTTAAGCAGATACCAGTACTGTAGCACATTTTGTGAGGTTTCTTTAACATGCTTTGCATCTGTTATTATGCTGTATAAGTTACATGGTTTATAAAGTATTAGATGTCCTTATTATCTGATTTGGCAATGTACAAAATAATTCCATCATGGTCATATTGCAGAATAAAATGTTGCGTTTTTACGCTACATTAAAAGTGAGATTCAGAAAGTCAATTCTGGCTTGTTCTACCATGATTAAACCCTAAATACACTGGTATAAATGTCAAAATACTAAAAGAACAATTCCATATTAGCATAACGCTATACAATTTTTACAGATGAATGTTACTGATTTGTTGCTGCTGGTATTGTAAATTATTGTCGAGTAAATAATTTCTGACACGTTGTACTTGGTTTCCAGAGTACACGAGTCGTCATAAAGGAGCCAGCAGCACGAATGGTTTCAACAACATTCTAAATATAAGAAACTCACAGAATGGTTTCCACTCCTCACTTAATGCTTTGAATCTAAATTCATCCATTTCATCAACAAATGGATACAATGTCCTCAACAGCTCTTGGAGTTCCAGTCCAGTTGGTAGCAGACTCATGACAACTCATGGTAATGGCTGTATGCATGGATGAGCATGGCCTTTGCTTTATTTATTTACTTCAAGCACTTTGCGCAAAAGAGTGACAGCCGCATAAACACCGCAAAGCTTTGTTCGCAGCAAGAGTAGACACGGATAAATTAGTTCGAGCTTACTGTAGTGCGTGCACTTCTTAAAGCGTCAGCGTGCTAGTTGCGGAGCGAATAGATTAATTTAGATTTTGCATGATGTTAAAAGTGAAAAGGTCACAATGTAGTCAGATTCACCAATGGCTTTGTGAATTTCTTTGAAATGACAATATTACTCTTTTGTCGGTACTGTCATGAAGAGAAATTTGCTCATAAGCACAACTTGTAATAACTGTCGTAAGTGCTTATACATGTGTACGCCTATTTGAAAAGTATACATAACAGTTCTGAGTAACAAATATTAAAGTAGATTTCTGTCTTCTGGGTTGTTGTGCTATGTAGTCATCGCCCTGATGATGGAGGCAGTATGACCTCTGAAACGTTGGTAAACATCGACCAGACTACGCAGCGCAACAACCCAGAAGACAGAAATCTTCATACTCTGATGACGGAGGCAGTATGACCTCTGAAACGTTGGTTAACATCGACCAGACTACACAGCGCAACAACCCAGAAGACAGAAATCTTCATACTCACTGCTGTGAAAACCTCAAATCTTACAAATATGAAAGTGTTTAGTGCCTGAACATCTGAAATTGACTCATTACATAAATTGGAAGTAATTAACACAACATATTTTAGGGAAAACGTAATCTTCAAGTGAGCTGTTTAAAACTCTTATAGCTGTTGAGGATGGAGTAACAAAATTCATAGTCTCACACTTGGTAGGGAGGATCAGAGCCATGCTGTGTTATCATGCAAGCAGTGAATGGGTTAACCATATCCAATTGGAGGGAACAAACAACATTTCTGATATATTTTAAAATGTGGCTTTTGGAGCTACACAGGCAAAGATTATCAATTACAAAAAAAATGAAATAGTTAAGATTCTGGCAACGCGCGCAGTTTGGATTTACGCAGCTAGGTGTGGCCATACTTTGTGTGAAAGAGTAAGAGTTAATGATAGAATCCTCTTTGGCGACCAGCTGTGTCCCTGATGAGGGAGACGAGAGAGTCTTCTGTTCTGTTCTGGTTTGATGCGGCTGGTCACCAGAGAGGATTTTATCACTGTTGTCATAAAATCTTTAAGTAATGTAAGCAACAGTTAATGTTCTACTGGTCTAGAACTGGAGAGGACTTTACTCTGACAGCAATCTTCATTGGATCAAGAATAATTCTTTACTAAAGAAATTTGCATTGAATAGTACCTAGTATTGTAATGTCTATCAACCATTTTTAAATTACGTAAGGAATAAGACTATATGGAAAAGTCAATGAATGAAAGTCACTGGAGAGTTATTTAACTTTCACACTGCCCAAGATTCACATCACGGTAATTTACATGTACTGTTACATTTAAAATTTGGAATTTGTTATGTATCTGTGTTTGTAAATACCCAGTTATCATTTTTCACTTTGGACATTTTTTAATTTAATTACTGAATTTATTTGAAGTTACATTTTGAATAATTTACTTTGCAGCCAGCGCATTAAACTTGTCACCAGATCACAGCATGAGACGGCCTACGAGAC